GGACCCTTTCTCGTCACCAGAGCCGTGGTACAGCGGTGGTACGGATGCGGGTGCATTCGAGACGGTGCGGGCGCCAAAGTGGTACCAGTGCAAGACCCGACGGAGCCTCTTTGCTCTTGTCTCACTGCGCAGCGCTGGATGCAGAGACAATGTTCAACAGCATCCACGCGTCCCAGCGCTGCGCAGCCAGTCTCGCAAATTGCCTGACTTTTCTCGACGTCGGATTCCCCTTTATTCTTCCGAGCTCGCAGCGACACTGCTTTCATCCGGCTGCGCATCTGGCCTTGCTTCGGTACAGCTTCGATTCTTGGCCGCAACGGGACTGTTACACGACAAGACGTGTCTTGCTGCGTGTCAATCCCATCCATCGTACGTCCGGCGGCCATGTCTGGCGATCCAGCAGGAACACATCCCCGACCTTTCGCTGTCAGGAGTTGCATCACAAAGCGCGGGAGGTGGATGCGCGTAGGAACCAAATACAAGCTTTCGCGCGCTGGATGGGGACGAAGCGAGCTTTGGGATGCGGCCGTGGGTATCCGTCGGCAGACGTCGATCGGGAAACACGGATCTGCAAGGGGGCTCCTGCGTCGCTGCTCGTTTTCGCACGCATCTCCCCACGCTAAGGCCCTGAGATTCGGCGCACAATACAAACGCGTGGGTCCGTCCAAACGTTCTTTGGCCGCCTTTTGGTTGTCAGGTGTTGGCCGGCGCAAATGGGCGCTTGGGGCGGATCTCAATAGCGCCTCGCCACGACAACCACACGCCGCGGCAATCACCAACCAACAAATGACAACCATCTCGCAGCTGGTGGCTGGATTGGTGCACCGATTCAAAAACCGCCTTCCAGTCACAGTCGTGGTGCGCCTGGTGGTGAGCCCAAAGTGGTGCTTGGCGCGCTGCCTTTTGCTGCGGTTGGGCCGGTGCGAGGCGTGAGAAAATTGTAAGCCAGTCTGGTTTCAGACCCAAAGCGGAAGGAGAGAGGATGCACGCACAGGCCCAATTGGCACTGCAAGGAGTCGCGCAGCCAACGCATGAATTCGGTCCCACGCCATGCGTCCGCCCCCTGCCCCTCGAGAGCTTATTCGCGTGCGAAGTTCTCCATCATGTCAGGTCGCCTTCTCCGTACATTCCTGAACATGTAGCCTGCTACGCCCTAACACTTTCAATTTCGGCCAAACGGCGGCTCCGAGGTCAAGAAAAAGAGTCCGGCCCACGCATGCTTCTTGCAGCTCGCACCTGGAACTCCTCCTCTCCACCCACCATCCTATCGATCGATATACGTGCGCTTTTGGGGCAATGTCCGACCCAGCCGCTCCCTCGTCTGCGTCCGCCGCAGGGCCAAGCGCACCGGTCTCGGCTACGGACGCGACCAAGTCCAAACAGCAACCACCACCACCACCCGCCAAGGAGGGCGGCAACGATAAAAAGTCGGCCAAGGAACTCAAGGCGGCGCGACGAGCCGCCAAGGTGGCCGAGCGTGCACCGGGCGATGGCGCCACTCCCCAGCGCATGCCACCCTCTGGTGCTGCTGCGGCTGCTCGTGGGGGTGCGGCGGACCGCAGCCAACAGCATAGCCGCGACGGTCCACCCGCAGGCAAGCGTCCCGGCTCGTCATCTGCCAATGCGGCTA